GAGATGTGGCTCAATGGTTGAGTGCCTCTGAGTCCAAGCCCCCCCCCACCCCAAGCAAAAAAAAAAAAAAAGAACTTGGGAGGTGTAGCTGAGTGGTAGAGAACCTCTAGATTCAATCCCCAGTACCACCAAAATCTTTTTTCTTATTTAAAAAAATAATCATGATTTCTTACTGTTTTTTGTTGCCCTGACCAAAAGACCTGATAATACCAATTTGTGAGGAGAAAAGTATACTTGGTACTCAATAGTTTCAGAAGTCTCAGTTTATAGGCAAGAGACTCCACTGCTTTGGCCTAGAGGTAAAGCAGAACATCATCTCAGAAGTGGGTAGAGGAAGAAAGCTGCGCAGGACACGGTCACTAGGAAGTAGAAAAAGGGTGTCCCTCGCCACAGACAAAATATATACCCCACAGCCACGCCCCTCAATGATTCACCTCCTCTAGCCACACCCTATCTGCCGACAGTTACCACCCAGTTAATCCCTATCAGTGGATTAATGCACTGATTAAGTTAAGATTTTCAAACCCAATCACTTCATCTCTAAATTTTCTTGCATATTCTCACACATGAATTTCTGGAAAGCATCTCATCTAAAACAGAATACTTACCCTGAAGATACTCCTACACAATGACTCTATGGGAATGAGAAACATCTCAGTAAGCTGATATTTGGCAGCACCACAGATCATTTTAATAAAAGAACATTACCTATCAACACCTGTTTAAAGTTTACCCACCCCAATCCCACCAATTATACCATTCATAACCCTGTGCCCTTGGGTTTTGCCTTGGTTCTCATATTCTCTTCCAAATCCCTTCCAAAATCTTCACTCAGAAAGATCTGGAACTAAGTAAAAACTTAGGTCAGTGGTCTTGTTCTTCAGGGTTTCTTTAGATGATAATTTTAATCTTTGAATGAAAGTCTGCGAAGAAAATGGTGTGCTAGAATCGCAGGGGCGACTAAGGAGAGAGAATACAGTTTATTTCTGTTATACAGTAAAACTAACTCATATTTTCTCCCATATATTATTTTTCTCTCTTCAGCCTCCTCATGCCCATGCTTCATCCTTAAACAAAGAAACCTCTTCACAAAGTGACTAACCAGAAAAGATTTTAGGTGAAATGAGGCAGAACTCTTGTGAACACCTGAGGCAGATTCTCTAGGCTCACTTCCATACGTCCCAAGTTCTCTCCACCTGAGGCAGGTAGCCAGTGAAGATGAGTAAGAATTTCACTTTCAAAGGAAAGGGAGTTTTAGCAGAAAATCCCAGGAGTCCTCAGATCACAATTCCTCATATAGATAAGAGGAAGGCTGAGGGGAGAACATTGGCTGGAACGAGGAAAATCCTAGCCCAGGGCCAAGGAAGACATAGTGAAAACCCCACTGTCACCGTGGCACTAATGTGTAATGCCAGCTCAGCCACCACCACCACCTCTAATATAGGAGTCACAAAATCTAGAGAGCCCTCACAGCTAGAGGCCATATGTTTTCCCCAGTGTCCTACTCGACAAGGAAAGGAGCATGCAAGAAGTAGGGGAAGTTGGGAAATTTTACCACCTTCTTCCAACAAGCTTGTCTCTGCAGTGAATTTTTTTGCTCACTACATATATTTTTTTTCCCCCTTGGTTCTGGCAATTGAACCCAGGTGTCACACGTACTAAGTCTGCATTCTGCCACTGAGCTGCACTTCCAGCTCACTCACTATTTACTTGCTATCACAATCTACAATTTGCTGACTTCTCTGTTTTCATGATTACAAACAATCCACTGCTCAAACTGCTTGGTGAGAGGATTTTATACTCCCATCTAGCACACCAGGCATTTGCTTTCTGCTTGGCATCTGTGTTTTTAAATACTGGTTTGTCATTGTATGCGTTATTTTTGTCTCTTAACAAAAAGTGAAATTTCTTTGTGATATGTCTATGAAACTGTGCTTGTTTTTGAAAGTGTAATTTCATGTGTGTGTTTAAGGTTAATGTTCTGCATTTTAAACCAAATGTTACTGCTCAAAAGAAAATTGAAGATCACCTGACAGTCTTTTCACTCTTTCTCTTTTAAGATCCTTGGAGGAGAGGTAAAGAGAGTTGGCCCTAGTCACACCACAATCACATAACTCATTGGTGGCAGTTAGAAAAATGACTCTATAGAAATTAGATTAGTCACCTCCTAACTAAGTATTGTCTCCATTGTAGCATGCTTCTTCTAACATGTGCTTAGAATTTCTTCCTCCAGTTTTTCTCTCAAGAAGCAGGTTCACCACCTGCCCAGTAATGATCATTGTTTCTTTACCGCCCCCTCCCGCCCCCCCCCCCGCAAAAATCTTGAAAACCCTTCCCTCTCTGAAGCAGAGGGTCTGAAAGGGATGTTTTAAAATATGAGGTAAATGAACTCCACCAAATTTTAGTTCCTTGTGTTCTTGAATCGTGCAGAACTGGAAATGTTGATAGCAATTCCTTTGTATCAGGCAATCTGGATTCTAGTACCAGCTTTGTTACTAATGAGATATAAAGCAATTGCCTCATTATTTTGGTCTTGAGTTTTTTCACCTGTATAATGAGGAGATTTTCGACTATACGTTTAACTATTTTTAGATAATTAAATATATCAATATATTAAGCATACTAATATATTGATATATTTAATATATTTTCCAATATGCAGATAATAGGTATTGGAGAAAACTCAAAGTAGAGAAAAAAATTGTCAATCATCTATAGTCAGTGTATTTATAACTACGACTATCTATATGAAGCATTTCTTGTGAACTCTTGTAGTAGAAATCAAAATTGGGGTTACATTTCTCTGGTTTGGATCTAGAGTATCCCCAAAGGCTCATGTTTTAGAGGCCGATTGCCTTCCTCTCTCTCTTTGTTTTTCCCCACCACCATGAGCCTCCTGAAGGGGCTCAGGTCCAGGAAACAGACTCAGGGTCCTGGCAGGTGGAAGAAGATGCAAGATACAGTTAAGATAGTAGGCAAGCTTTATTCAGAGGTGGTAATGGCCTCCAGCCTCCAGCTTTAGCTTCAGACTCCAGCCAGTTCCATTTTAGTCTTCATTTTGCCCCTTGTAGTCCTTGAGTCTTTTCCATAGCCACTTTTTATATTCAGGCCAAACAAAGAAGGCACACTGCCAACAGGTTACATAAGGGGGTGCATACTTACAAGTTAATGTTTATGACCTTGAGTACATATGCTGAATCAGAGTGTCTCTGGCCTTGATTAACCATGAGGTAGCCAACTCCCAGCCCTGGCTACACACTAAATTCATCACATAGCTGGAAGACTCGGGAGGGAGCCTAACTCCAGCCATTTGGGGCCTGCACCAACAATGAGGTGAACAGGCTTCCTCTGCCTCCTCTGCCATGTGCTCTCACTACAACCTACTGCACCATCACAGGCCCAAATAGGGCCCAGTGACCATGGACTGAAACCATGAACCAACATAAACCCTTGTTCTACTTAGGTTTGTCATCACAGGTATTTTGTTACAGTGAAAAAAAAGTGATTAATAAAATACTGTATTCAATTTTGGAGTAATTTTAAATATATAGCTTTTTTCATTTACATTTGGTTTGGAATGGTGTTTTGCTTTGAATCTCTAAAACCACTCAGGCTTCCTCTGTAACACTCCACAGTTTTAGTTTTATTTTCCTGTAATGCATCATATTTGTTTTTCATGTTTCTCATTGTAGTCCTCATATTCCTCAAATCAATGGAGATTGGTGGACATGCCAAGTATTATTATCCCCATTTGACAGGTCAGAAAACCGAGTCCCAATATAGTGAAGTAGTTTGTTCTAATTGTATGTCCAGATGGGATCAATAATAGTGAGAGTGAATCCAAGACTACTGAGCAAATACTTAGTAACATACTATTTCCATTTTACCTGAGTTCAAAACAGAAAGCTCCATTGTCTACTAACCTGAGGAAATGAAAACTTTTTATAACTTTCATCTCTTTGTTGCTAGTGCATTTCTATGAGGAAGGATTGTTTGGCTAAAAAACAAATTAATTAAAGATTATGTGGATTGCTATATTTTAAGTAATTGATTACTATGCTGATTCTACAAAATGAATCATGCATATATCTCTAATGATTTGGTCCAATTTTGATTTTCTCCCTGGCAGCACCATTGTCTTGTCCTTAGTGGTCTAACCACCTGTGCTAAAGACTGTGCATGACCACATCTGACCTCAGGGATGGTTCTGTTATTGTATTTGATTTGATAGACTATAATTAGGTACTTGGAAATCTAATCATAGTAATGAAATCCTATGACTGGAAACTGGGAACTAATCCAGGACTGCTTGGTTTTTGATGGAAGTATAATGTCCTACATAAATGACTTGAATTATAATTGATCATATTAAGTGTAACGCTGACTAAATCTGTGTACTAGAACAACATTCAGTTTTTATGGTGAACTGATGAATAATTTTGGAATTAAGGAACATCAGTGACTTGATTCTAGATCACACTATGAATCTGATTTCTAATCTTCAATTGGCTAAAATCCAGAGAACGGCTATGTAGCCCAGACATGTAAAGGAAGAAGAGGGTAAAAGGTAACCTACATTGAGAGAATTTTGTGTAGAACTTGGCCTTTGTCTAGAGGCTAACTTCTCATTAGCTTTTTTTCCTTGCCTAAAAGGATCAAGAAATTATGAGCAAGACTCCTAATTACCTTTTCTTTAGTGTTGGCCCAGAGACTCTGCTGACCTAGGAGACCCCCAGAGGGCCAAGTTACAACATTAAGAAATTCCAAAGAGGGTCAGAGGCAAATTCCAATTCTCCAGCTTTGCCAGAGTCTTTTCTTTTCTTTTTCCTCACAGTGTACAATCTCCACCTCTACTTAAGTCACTGTCTAGTCTCTCTCCCCTAAGGCATTTATTCACCTACTACTAAGGCTTCTAAAAAATGTCTTTTTCAGTGGTCCACTCCTGGGACATAAATGTTGTAACAGTGGCTTCTGAGAAAAACAACTGTCTGAGGACCAACTGAGTAGGGCCTGGGCCTGGGCCATCTCCCAGACATCTTCCTCCATTCCTGGTGTGGACGTTATGAGCTCCTCCATTGTTCGTCAAAGATACATAGAGGCTAATTGAATAAGTTTGGATTCAGAATTGATGGCGCCTCTCAATCAAATATCTTAGTTGCTACCTTGAAGTAATAACATGAGAAAAACCAGCAGCCACCACAGGTCTTACTATCAAAGGTCATAGTCTCCAGCAAAAGCAGGTCAGCCTCCCTTCTTCTGAGGAAGGTTGCAGTTTCCCCAAGCTCTGACAAATCCATGCTTCAAAGGAAATCCTCTGAAAAAGGGTAGGCCTAAGAGTGAGCTGAAAGCATTCACTCTGCAGAAGTTAGGTGAGGGGGAGAAAAAATTAGAAAGGATGCATCAAGCTCTAAAGTGAGAAACAGTTACTGCAGACACACAAAAAGGGTTACTTTTCTTATATCCACCTGTGCCCCTTCTTTCTCTTGGTGTGTCTCAAGTTTATGACAAAACTGAACTCCAAGAACACCTGTCTCTCAAAACGCTGAGTCACCTAACAGCATAGGAGGACCCACAATAGGAGGACCCACAGTATTTTCAGGGACCCATGAAAACATTTTGTCTTAACACAGATCAGAAGAAAAATATAAGTGTACTATTAATGACAGATAAACAGAACCACAGGCCAGATTATATTTGCATTTATAGCAACACAACTGTAAGTCTATCTTAATATTTCTTTGTGCAGAAAATGTCCCCAAAAGTACCTGCCTAGGACCAGTAAAAGTCACAAGGCAACTTTTAGCCACAGAGTTTGAACCTCGGCAGATGCTAGAATGGGCTAAACCAACCAACATCTAGCTGTGGAGAGTAGGGGCCTTGGCAGGAGTAGAGGAAGGGCTTCAAGATATGTACCTGTAGACAAGTACATAGAGCATCATAGCCAGAATATGATGATAAGGGAGGAAGTTGTTGAGACACATGCTCAGCTTTATAAACTAAAGGAATGAAAAAAAAGAGTATCCTGATAGAGAGGAGTGTCTGCAGCAAATGGCTTACAAAAATTTCATGTACACAGTCATTTAAGAAGACTGGTTGAGTATAGGGGTGAGGAAGTAGAAAGTGGGAGCATATTGTGGGGAGAAGGATGTGGAGCAAGTTTAAGTGAAGGAGTTCATTGGCTTAAGCCAGTATCAGAGGGATCAAGCTGCTGGATAAATAAGTAAGGCTAAATTCATTGGACATTCTCCCTTCAACATGCACTTTACATTATTATCTTTCATTTTCATACGTTACATTTGATAACAGGGAGGAAAAGAAATGGAAATTGTGATCCTAAATGAAAGCTCTTTTTCTCTGTGCAGAAAAATCTCCCTCTCTATTGAAGCATGCAAGGTAAGTGTCACTGGCCCCATTTTCAAAGGAGAAGGTGGAGAGGCACTCACCAAGTTTGCTTAGCTCAGCTGCTGTACTCCAGGACTCCTCAGCAACATGGTCTACTCACTCCAGAATGGACTGTGATTACTTTCTACCTTATGCACACGTAACAATGAAGAAACCCAATAAACTAATGCATTTTACCACACTATCTCTTCATGGCTACTTGTACTATTTATGGAATTTAGTTTAAAGGAATGTAGTTTAAAGCAAAAACTAATGATCCAGGATAAATATTAGTTCTATCTCCTCCAGAAAACAGGCATGAGCCTCGTAGGATATCACTTAATCCTGGTAGGAACATTTTCTCACCCATGCAATGCAAGGTTTAGGCATCATGTATAGGAACATTCCCTGAGCTAGAGGGGAGAAAAGATCCTCCAGAGAAACAAAATTAATGAGGGTCCAGGAGATGAGACTGAGGATATTTGTCAGAGGACAGAGTGAAATTGAAGTTCCTGGAGGTGAATGTTCAGATATAGGATTTGTAATAATTATAATATTCACATTAGTAACATTACTTGACATTAGAATAGATAGAATGGAGCATGGTAAAAGAAAACTCTGAAAGTCAGCTTTAGAAAAAGGTGACAGGAAGCAGCAGAGACTCTTTGAGTAGGACATACGGAAAGTGGTATTTTAGGAAAATGGCTCTGGCAATGAATCTGGATGAATCGGGACAGGAAGAAGCCATAATTGGAAAGATAAGTTGTGAGTTTGCATATATGACAGAATTGTACAGTATCTGACTCTGCTCTCTATGGGTAATTTCTGATGACTTGCAATCAGTAGACAGTAGAGCTCAGGATTTATATTTGTAGGGTATGTGTACAAATTTCCTGGGAAGATACTCAAGAAATGGTTATCTTTCTGGGACATGGGAACAGGAGATGGGTGAGATGGAAGAAACTGCCTTTCATTCAGTTCCAGTTTAGTCTGTTTCTAAGTGTTCCAGGTGTTTATACTTTCAAACTTAGCAATTTTAAAAAAAATAGAACTTATTCTATTTTTAAAAAAATATTTATTTATTTATCTTTCGTTTTAGGTGGATACATTAGTTTGTTTTTATGTGGTGCCAAGGATTGAACCCAGTGCCTCATGCATGCTAGGTGAGCACTCTACCACTGCGCCACCACCCCAGCCCCAGAACTTATTCTAATAAGGGATAAAAAGAGATAAAAAGATTATATCATTACATAAAGTACTTTAACCTATGTAAATCATCTTTCAAGTCTGAACCTTCATACATTTTCAACGCATACAAGGAACAGAATGTGTAGGAGCAGGCAGTAGGTAGTAGGAAATGGCAGTTGTCAGGAGCAGGGAGGACCTGGTAACCATTTGGAGGGAGGTAACTGAGGCCAAGAAAATGACCCTCCTGAGCAAGGAAGGATCAGAATCCTCCTTCCTCCTTGGCTTCCTCCAGTATCTATTAACCCTTTAATGTCCTTCTGATCTCTAGATTCCTTTAGGTTGAACTAGCATGCAAGGCTTTAGAACTTTATAGAGTAACACGTTTATCACAGCCCAGTCAAATCAATACTTTAGATGGGGAAAAAGAGCCCAAATGCCCCCAAAGAATAAGCAATTTAACTTTGCAAGTTAAATTACCAGAAAGGTATATTGTACTCAATATAGAGAATCACAGGTGAATACAGAACTAAACTTACTTCTTTTTAGGAGGAAATGTTAATCTATATATTGAAGGGAAATTATATTTGAGGCTGGTGTTTTAGTGTATTTGGTGATCATGAATTTTATTTGCTACTGCAAATATTTAAGAAACATAAGAGGCACTAGAGCTGTATGCTTATTGTTCTGAGTACCTCACTTCTAGAGCCTAGTGATCCCTTTGAACTTTCAGGAGTTTGCTTTTCAAATGCATTAGGAATGATTAGGTTCTGGGAATTACATGACTGTACTTATAAGTTAAATAGCTATATAATTTTCCCCCTGAACCTAGTTACATTTTTTCCATACTGGGACACTTTTGTGGGTGAAAGACGGTGCTACTAATAATTAAACCAGGCTTATAGACATAATCTGAGACTGTCCAAAGTAAGTAGGAAAATATGGATACCCCACTTGTAAGAGAATTGGTGTCAAGGAATGACCATTTAAAAATCCCCCAAAAGGTTACTACTTTTCCATAATTATAAAACCCAGACAATTCTATATCTCTATGATTCACAGGGCACTTAGGCAACACCATTAGTATTAAAAAGTTGGACTCTAAGAGAAGCATTATATAATAAGCTATACTATATCATTCCATTTGTGGTATAGCCAAAGAGCTAATCCTGCTCTGCTCTAGAGTACACCATTTCAGGGACTGAGCACCATACAAGACAATACCCTTTGGTTTTTATTGACATAATCCAGTTTCCAGATATAGTTCAGGTACCTAGTTACCAAAGTAAGAGATGAGTAATAGCAAGTCCTCACAGGGAAGGGATAGTTGACTTGTAAGCTTTGTACCATGGACTGAAAAGATCATATTGGTCAAAACATAGCAGCTCTTGATAGAACTAAGTTAGTGCCTTTTAGCTGAGATATGATATCAGATTGTGTGACTATCCATCTATTTTCAAGGGACTGAGTTATTTCCAATGACTTGTAATTTTTTAGTGAAAAACCCAGGAAAGTTCTGGGCAATCTGGGACAAATTGCTTGCCTTATTTTCAGGTATAGTCCTTGAAGTTATTTATCAATCTTTATTTTGGAAGCTAGCAATTTTTATGATAATTGTATTTTTGTGTGGTTATCTTCTCCTCTCTCCCCAGGTATTTTGTATATGTCCTTTTAGAAAAATATCCATTTATTCTTTCATTCAACATATATTTATTGCCCATTTATAATTGTCCATGCTAGGCTTAGGGGGTACAATAATGGTCAGCACAAATACTCATTGCCTTTTTAGATAAATGGATTTAAAGTAGGCATTCCTTCATTTGGAACTATGGTTATGCTCTATATAAATGTGCAGAAAGAAATCTCCACCCCTTGGCACAAGCCACAAGTAGTCATGTTTGCAATGTGGCACCAGTGTCCTGGCCCACCTGACCAGACAGGCTTGAGGGTCTGATAAAAACAGGGACAATCAGAGTGTCTCTTAGGATATGGATTTGAGGTCCATATATCACTCCCAGTCTAGTCTGGCTCTTTGTGAATGGTGTGATACAAACTTGAGAGTTGAGAATAGCATTGTGGTATGTATGATCACATGGCACCACCTGCATGTTAATCAGCAAAAGCATCAACAGACAGGAATCACAAGAAAGAAGACAAACAATAATAAGACACCAAGGAAAGAGAGAAAAAGAAAAAAATCGCTTTATGTCCCAAATAGACTTCCTGGTAACAGTACCTTTTGAAACAAATTCAATCACTACCTTTCGTTTCTGTAAAGTCTCTCAGTAATCTTCCAATCAACTCCCATTTCCCCCCAACTTTAAATAATGTTGGAGGAATTTCTGTTGTTTAAAATATCCTTAATTGAGACATTATCCCTTGTCGTTCTTCTAATATAGGCCCTTGTTCTGTCCCTAATGTGATGTGAAGAGTATATATAAAAGTCAGTACATAGTGTGTTACATAGTAAAATTTTAATCAATGTTAACTACTCTTAATAATATTCAATA